TATACCTGTTCCCCAATGTTCATCGCAGCACTCTTTCCAATAGCCGAGAGTTGGAACCAGCCCAAATGTCCATCATTGGATGAGTGAATGTGGAAAATGTGGTTTATCTACACAATGGAATACTACTCAGCTATAAAAACGAATGAAATACTGCCATTTGCAGCAACATGGATGGACCTAGAGAGAATTATATTAAATGGAACAAGTCAGGCACAGAAAGAGAAATACCACATGTTCTCACTTATTGGTGGGAGCTAAAAATAAATAAATTAATTCACACACACACACACACTGCGGGTGGGGGGGAAGAAGACATAACAACTACAATTCCTTGAAGTTGGTATGACAAGCAAACAGAAAGGACATTGTTGGGTGGGAGGGGGGAGAGGGAGGAGGGAGGGAGGTTTCTGTAATGGGCAACAATAATCAACCACATTGTATATCGGAAAAATTAATTAATTAACTGAATGAATGAATGAATGAAACAAATGTCTGGCAACAGGACATATCTACACAATATGGCACATCCCCACAGTGGGATACTAGAATGCAGGTTAGCTCTATGCAGAGGATATATTGAGAAAAGCAAGATGCAGAACAGCAAAGATACTACAGTACTTTTTAGATAAATATGAGAAAAATAAGAATATATGTTTCTATAATTATTTGCATAAAGAAACTCTGCAAAGACAAAAAGAAATGAATAAAAAGTTACCTATAGGACTGGGGGAGGGGAACAGGGTGGCAGGGTCAGGGTAGAATAGAGATTTCTCTGAGTATATCTTTTTAATATAATTTTTACTTTTGAGTCATGCAGATGTATTATGTATTCAAACTATAAATTTAAATTAAAAAGTATTTACATGGTCACCATACATTCCCTCTTAGCCAAAGTGATGACTGAGATTCTTTATGGCTAGTGTTAGGTAAATTATGGGATGTGAAATTTGGAAAGGTCTATCTTCTCACCTACTGGTCCTTCACTTATTGTGGATTACAGACTCCTCTGGGAATCCATTGAAAGCTGTCGTTTCCCCAAAACATGCAAAATTTCACATCTACAAACTTCTCTGAAGTCTAGGTTACAGGTCTCTGATCTCATCCCAGTCCCACTGCACACATATGAGGTGAATCAGACCCAGAGAGTGATTGCAGCCTTGTCCAGGGTGGGTGGCCACAGCAGCTGTCTTCCTTTTAGTTAACTGAGCCCTGCTCCCTCCCTGCAGCTCAGGGGAGATGGCCCATTTCTGAGCAGTAATTCCATTCTCCTCGCCAGTGAGTGGTTTAGGAATGTGCACGTGCCTCAGTTCTGAGCAAAGAAGTATGAGTCTACCAGAGGCTTCCTCTATGAGACATACACAAAAATATTCCAGAGCGGATGCTATGAACTACTGCAGCCTTGCGCTGATCATGACGGAGCTGAGCTGAGCGTGGAGCTGTCACTTTGCAGGAAGTACAGAGAGAAAAGAGGCTGGGACCCTGATGATAATACTGATAAACCGAGTCATGGGGTTACCTGGGCCAGCAGTCACCCCACAAGTGGACTTCTTATTTGGTAGGGTCATAAATGTCCTCAGCGTCCTGTTTAAGTGAGTTGCAGTTTTCTGTTTCTTCTGCAGAGAATCCTAACTCATCTTAGGATATGGAAAATTACTTTTACAAGGTAGCAATTCTAACATATCTCTGCACTTGTATCACTATGCCAACATATGCACGTTTGGGAATATGGTTTAGGAAACTTCCATAAGGACCCAGAGCATTCTAAAATGGCTCAACAATTTATTCTTCAGCACAACTCTGGAGACAACTTTTGTGATTCAGTGTTACTTATTCATCAGATTTTTAAATACCACCCTTAACATATTTTAAATTGAATTCTCTATTTCAGAGGTTTACCTGGCAGAGGTCTTCTTTCTTAGCTAACAGTCTCAGGTTCACTTCTTCAGTTGTTGGGACTTTGTGAGGTATTAATCTGTAGAATTCAGTCATCATCTTCTGCAACTGTCCTGCTGTTTCTCCATTTTTCAGTGCTGCCTTTACTAGAAGGAGAATCCCCTCTGCCTTGCTCACCTTTAAACAGAAGACCATATATGTTTATCAAAACCAAATCTTGATAATCACAGAAGTGAAGGAACATATACAAAAATATCTACAATAATCGTTGGACATGTTGCACTCTCAGTTTTCTACTGGACAGCTGCCATGAAGCAGATGTTGATCTTAGTTGGAAACGATTCTCAGTGGTGACAATGATGCTGTGAGGATTCTTTCCAAACTGGGCTCAGCTTAACTAGGGGAAAGAACTGGAGTCATGCATTTCTCTACATATGTGTACATGTGTACGTGTATAAACATACAGAGACAGGAACACTAATGCAACTGTAGGAGACTTGCTTTTCACATGAGAAGTTTAGAAAGATGTTAGCATCAAACTAGAAACAAAACCCACCAGACTGTTTCCAATTACACAAGTACTTCATGGACTTTTTCGCAGGAAACCTTTTTCTCCCTGAGGTAAATTAGTTTAATTCCACAGAGGAAGTGTCTGTATTATTTTAATACGACAACACAGTTGTGCAAGTTATAGTCATGGGGACATCCTCTCTCATTTGCTCTTTCAACTGCAACTTCACATAATCAGGAGGAGAAGAGCATTTTCTGGGGTGCTGGAAGAGTGCGTGCCTTCCATAAGATGGTCAGAAGGCACAGGATGGAAGCAGGTAAGGGTCTGGGCACCTCACTGGGTCCAAGACCACACATGCCTCTCAGCCCAGAGGACCAGGCCTCTCACTGCCACACCGAAGCCTACGTGACCAGCTTCTGCAGCTGACATTTCATAGACAAGGATGTCTAGTTATCTCGGAGGCTTATTTTCCCCTCAGTGCTCTTCATGTTCCCTTATTTCAGGGTACGAGGAAAGAACGGTCAGGAATGAATTCCAGAGCAATCGGCCGAGTGTGCAAATAAGTGCTATTACTTAAGCTAATAAACCAGGAAACAGGTTTGTCATGTTTTGTTTCAGCAACACACTTGACTTACATCGTTGAGGCTGATCCTGTTCACCGGCTTGAGAAGCATGTGCTCCAGGTGGCCCAGAGCTTCCACCCAAACCATCTCCACCAAATCGCTCACCTCCTGACTCAGAGGGCATGAAAGTATGAGCTCCTCCAAAAGCAACTGGAACAATGAAATAACAAAGAAACACTACCAAAGAGTCACCATGTGAGCAAGTTTGTTTAAAACTAACACAGGCCAATGAACAAAGGCCTGAGAAGAAATAATGAATTACAGCATAGGAGAGTCACCTCAGCCAGGCAGCTGTAATGCCCTCGGCCCCTCTCTGCCCGGCTCTCCCTCCACCTCCTCCGTGAACTCTCCTCTGATTCCCCTTTTCCCCCTCTTTTCTTCCTATTTTCTCTTTCTGCTTGCCTTCCTTCACCTTGTAAGCTTTAGGACTGTCAGTGGCATTCGATACAAGGGCTAAAGACCCTTGATTTGTGACCTAGGTTATAAAGTAATCTTTCAAAAGTGCGAGGGTCAGCTGCTGAAATAAAGTGGCTTGTCCTGGAACTCTCTCCCCACTCAGCTTCCATGCCTCTGTGGGCTCACCTTTCCTCTTAACTCCTCCTCTTCTCTCCTGCCAATTTTTTACTTGCAATAAAGAAAACACGTCTACTAAAAATATTCAATCAATAACACAAAACAACATGTACAAATCAATCTTACTGCTTGCAATTTTTCAGATGCTAATTGGGTTGCTTCTGGTGTAAAATGTTCTCTTAGTAGAAATCCCTGTTTCTTCAGTTTGTCCATGTAAATTTCATAGTATTCGCTTGCATCTGCAGAGGTTTTCTTTACAGCAAACTCTCTTCTAGTCTGCGAATTACAGTACACAGCAAAGGAACAGTAACTTATTAACGTAGCCATCTTTATCAAACACCTACTATGTACTAAACGTGAATAAGGCATTAGATCCCTGCCATGAAGTTTAGAAACTAGTCTTTTTCTTTTCTTTTTTTTTTTGTCCTTTTTGAGACCAGCCGCACCACGCTCAGCCAGTGAGCGCTGTGAGCGCACCGGTCATCCCTACATAGGATCCGAACCCGCGGCGGGAGTGCTGCCGCGCTCCCAGCGCCGCACCCTCCCAAGTGCGCCACGGGCTCGGCCCAGAAACTAGTCTTTTTCAAAGAAAGAATATTTAAATCTTCAATTCTTCGCAAAACAGCTGAAACCTGGAACAGGGTAAGCCCAAGCAAGCACAGCAGACAGTGAAGACCTTTTGATTCAGCATGGAGCCACTTGAGTGTCCACTCACAACCTACAGACTCTTACTTTGCACACTGTCCTAGTTAGCTTTGAAGGCTGGCTTTCCAGCTTTCTGGCAGTGAGAAAAATAAATTGAGGGAGGGGAAGAAAAGAAAAATACCTGAGAAAGGATGTATTGTTCGAGACAGGCACACAGTCAAAACGAAATGCTGGCTTCCAGCACAGAGAAAAGCAGGAAAACTATTAGGTTGTGCAAACAATGTTAAAGGCCCAGGGTTAGGGTCTTTTGCAAAGGCACAAATTCCTTCCTCACTCTGAGCTGCCTCGGATGTAGCATTTTCTGCTCTTCTTGGAAATCCCTGCCCCTGTAGTAAGTGGCATAGTAAGATTAACCCCAGAGAATATGGGAAAACTTGCCCCAGCTAGGAAGCCTGGCATCCTTGCAGGTGTTAGCCACAACCTTGGTTCTGGGGTATACAGCCCCAGCGGAAGCCATGCGCTCTTGATACTGATAAGCTGCCCTCCCAGAGTATGGCTGCAGGACACCTCAAACTTGGAAAAGTGTGGAGGATACTAACATCACAGGGCTTTAACCCTTAGATTAGCAGGACCACAGTCCTTAGATCAGGCTGTTGTTTAGTAGGACCACAGTCCTTAGTTCTTAGCAGGACCAAATCCTGTTGTTTAGGGAATGGCCTAACTTTTTAGTATTGCACATAGAAATGCTAAGCTTGGGAAAAAACAGAAAACTTTCACAGGACTAAAAAGTCTCTGGTGTGGATATGAAAATTTTAACACAGCAAAAGTGCTTGCTCTAAGGGAAAATGTCCTTGGTGCAGCTAAACCTAATGATGAAAAAATATGTGTGCTAAAAGCTTCAAGGCTACCCTGCCAATTAGTGGTTGGTTTCACATTTCACGTTCAGCTGTTTCTTTAAGTTTCCTAGGGAACTAAGTGTTGCCATAGTGATTATCTCATTGGTTCTTTTGTATGTCAGGGTAGCTTAGTTTTATGACTTCTTTGATGGTAAATTGCTTAAACTATTTTTAAGTTGCACCTGCCTTAATGAAAATTGTCATGTAGCCACTTTGTTTATGTTTTCACTATGACTGATTAACCACCTGTGTTCTTTGCTGTAACTTTCTTGCCTGGACAATAAAAAAGGAGAGAAAACCTAGTTTGGGGTTATTTCCCAGGAATTCCTTCTCTCTTGGTTAATTCCCCTGGAATTAACCCCTTCTGGGCCTCTCACTGCTCTGGAAAAATGGGTTTTGAGTAATCCTTTGTGTCTCTGTCACCCTGGGGGAGAGGTGACAGAAAAGAGAAGTGCACGTTCAAGTCACTTCATTTAAGGAAGTAGAGTTATACAACATTTTGGAAGACTTCCATCAAAATGCTTTTACTAAGGAAAAAGGCAAGCTGGAAAATCCTCTTCTACAGAATGGCTGTCTCGTTGCTGATTAAGTCAGGATCACTTCTATCAAGGTGGACAGGCTTCTCTTCTTTTTTGAGGGGGAGGGCAGCTGGCTGGTATGGGGATCTGAACCCTTGACGTTGGTGTTATAACACTGTGTTCTAATCAACTGAGCTAACCGGCCAGCCCCAGGCATCTCTTAACAAATCCAGTTCACCCAAAGAGACTCAGGCTTCCCACGGGTGGAAGGCACCCAGGAAGGGACAGGTTGGCATAAGCAGTTTTCTTTTTCAACAAAAAAAAAAACTTTGATTTTTACTTACTTTTTACCTAAACTAGGAAATCCTCCACAAAATATAGTTTACAGTTGACCCTTGTACAACATGAGTCTGAACTGCACATGTCCACTTATATGAGAATTTTTTCGTTAAGTGAATGCAGGACATACCTAACCAAACAGTTACATAGCCTGCTACGTAACAGTAGGCTATCAAAACATTATAAGTAGTTAACTTTATATACACTTCAGTATCAGAACTGTACAGTGGATTGCAACGATGAATGTGTTGTTTCCTTCCAGATGGTGATTTCTGGGGGTCAGAGTGTGAAGCATTTTCTCTTTGGGTCCTGGCCCTAGCAGATTGCTAGGTACATAGCAGGTGCTTAGTGAAACATATTAACAGATTGCTTTTAGAGGTGCACACATTAGGAAGATATTCCATAAGTGATGTGGAACAAGAGCAGGAACCCTATATGCCCTGTACCCTATGATATTCTCCTTGGGCAGACCCCATGCTGCTCCAGTCAGGGGGTGCAGTCCTCACCTCCCACACTCCAAAAGAGAAGACATTTCTGCCTTGCAAAACTCTTTACCAGGTGTTATGGGCTTAACTGTGCTCCCCCCCCCACTCATATGCTAAAGTCCTAACACCCCAGGTACTTCAGAATGGGACTGTACTTGGAGGAAGGACCTTTAAAGAAGTAATTAAGTTAAATGAGGTCATAAGGGTTGGCCCTGATCCAATGTGACTGGTGTCCTTATAAGAGGAGACATGGAGACACAGAGAAAAGGTCATGTGAAGACAAAGGGAGAAGACAGCCTTCTGCAAGCCAAGAAGAGAGGCCATAGAAAAAACCAACCTTGCTGCACTTGGATCTGGGACTTCCAGGCCCTAGTGCTGTGAGAAATAATGTCTCTTGTTTGAGCCACCCAGTCTGTGGTATTTGTTACAATTGCCCGAGCTAAGACACCAGGTAAGAAGTAAAAGGTTAGCAGGTTCCCTGGTTCATTGACTAATTTTAAGGAAACTATAGACAGGAGTGGAGAAACACAGGAATCAATATAAACAGCATTACCTGCACACCGTCAGCCAGAAGGAAGTGTGCCGATATCAGAAACGGACGGTCCCCGGGGTCCCGGGAGCAGCGCAACTCCACCACGGCAGTTTCTTGGATGCCCTCTGCCCCCACCTGGAAAACAGGGCTGCTTTCAGAAGCTGCACTAGGGGAATGATGAACTGTGCATGCCAGCTGAAAATTCTGGTTATAATTACAAAGTAATATATGTTCATTACAGATATAATAGAGAAAATACAAAAAAGTACCAAGATGAAAATAAAAACCACCTGAAATCCCACTACAGATAAATAATCACTATTAATATTCTGGTATTCTTCCCTCCTGTATTTCTACTATAAGTATATTTGTATATGTTTGTTATACTGCACTGCTTTTCATGTTTTCTTTATCACAGAAGGAAATGTTATTTTCAAATTATATTTTATTAAAATATCTAAAGGCTAGTGTTGATTTTCGTTTGTGTGATTTTGTCAAAGAAAAGTTTTTTGTTTTTCTCTTTAATGTAAAAGGAATGGAAATTCAGCAAAGCATAAATACTTGGTGTCAAATTGACCCTTTTCAAATACAAGAAACTGTTCATAACAGGGAGGAGGACTTTGATTTTTAATGCTGTAGAGCTAGGGCTGGGTCTGGAGCTGAGAGGAAAATAGAATAACTTAATCAGGCCCCCTCGCCTACAGTTGGGAGTGGTACAGCACATTCCTTGTAAACAAGTTGTGTGTGAGTGGAGTTAGTCTGCATGAGTGCCAATGTATCTTTTTAGTTTGTTGCTATTGTGTGTGCTAGAGTTTGTCAAGCAGCTAGAGGACAGAGCTCAAGTCTAAAAATAGAGCATGTTTACTCTGCTGGCAGTTAAGTTCTCAGTTTTTCAGTGGACTTTGCTGGTAGCAGTTGACTTTTGAGTTTCTCTGTGGACTGCCTAGCTCTCAGATGTGTTAAAAAATGGGCACAGACCCCTCAAGCACATTGTCCAGACTGGGTCACAAACTCTTCACACGCAGGTCTATGAGCTAGGTAACAGGAAAAAAGGTCCTTGGAGTCTTGGTTGAAGAAAGAGTAGTCTTTATTCAGCACACATACACGTCTAAGAGCTAGGCAGTCCACAAAGGAACTCAGAAACTCAACTGCTACCAGCAAAGTCCAAAGAAAAACTAAGCAGCTGCCAGCAAAGTAAACATGCTCTATTTTTAGATGCAAGCTCTCCACAGCCACTGCCCATGCAGCACTATTTCCACCCACACACAACTTACTTACAAGGAATGTGCTACACCACACCCAACCGGACCTGAGGCAGGGGGCCTGATCAAACTATTCTATTTTCCTCACAAATGCCATATTAATATGTTGTACTGTTTAAAATTTTTACTATGAGCATACATTATTTCCGTAATAAAAACATTAAAATATTAAACATTAAATTTTAAACAAATATTTTCTTAACAATTAAAAATCAACTCATATTTTAAGGGATATATGATATTCAGGACATGCATAATTTTTCAAAACAATGAGAAAATGGTCTAACACCAAAAACACCAAGAAGAAATTCAAACTTTTTTTTTCATAAATATAAATCAGAAACTCTTACTTTTTCCAAGCTGTCATATTTTGCAACTTCAAAATCTTGAGGAAAATGAGGAATTTCAACATTCTCTGTACAAAACCTGAAATTTGTAAAATTAAAATTTTGACATTAAAATGGATTATTAGGCTACACAGAATTATATAAAATTCTTCTTGGAGATCTCCTAATTCCTTACAAAATACAGTATGAGTCCCTAATGCCTCCGTAAGATATTCTAGGAATGGTTACATGCTCGAGTGAAAGGAGCTGGAGTCCCCTGGGCCTGAGGCGTGGCTGGCTGCCCGCGCTGTGCATGTGTGGGCTGCGGGGCAGGAGTGCAGAGCCCCACACGCCAAGGATCGCCGCAGGCCTCCACCTTGGGCTTCAACACTTAGAAGCCATGTTACTCTTCTCTGACTACAATCAACTCTTTAAAATAAATGAGTCAGACTTCTCATAATTCATATTTCTCACTTTGGATTTTGTACTCTTTTAACAGTGCTTTTAGCAAATAAAATAAAACCGAACGTGATGCCCAATTAACACCGCAGTTTGGGGTATGTCTTAAGAAACCACATGGGACCTTAGACTCACATAATCCATTTGAGGAAAGTTGTTGTTATTTCCATTTTTGAAAATATCAAGTAAAGAGTAATGAACCATCTTTACCCTAAAGGCTGCTTGGTAAAGTAACAGAATCAGCAGCCTGACCAAATCTCATTGATGGTGGTTTTTCTTCTTTAAAATCAATTAATCTAATAATTACGTTCAACCTCATATAATACTGAAAAGATAAAAATAATTATCACTATACTAGTTGAAGTAAAAAGTCTTAAATAAAAAAAACTAATAAAGAGTTAGATAAGCAAAATAAAATACTTCAAAAGTCTACAAGTACTATTTTAAACTGTGAAGTTTATAAAAGATTTTGCAAACTCTGTAGTCTTAAGGATCACAAGTAGATTACTTAGTGAGTTCCACAGTGTTGTCCTTCTCTGTGGCACTGTCCAGGAATGGATCATCTATTTTCACTTCTAGAATTAAAACAAACAAAAGACTTGTTTACTGCTCCAAGGTTTATTATAATTAGTCAGTCTAACTGCTGGAATTGTTAAGATTCTTTAATGTGGACCATTTTTGCCATGCTATTGTTTTTTCAGCTGTCCTTAAATTTTAGCTGTCCAGTGAGTTATTGGTAATCTAAGGACAATACAAGTAGGAAAAGATCATCAGTGAAGTTGTAGTAGTTCTGAATATGAGTGGATTATTCTGGATGTTGAATAATATGTTTTCAATGTGAAAGGGGTCTCCTAGCCTGCCTATTTCTGTTTTAGCTGTCATTTTCTGAGAAAGTCTGATGACAGTATCAGCATTTCTGGACAAATGCTTGTCTAAAGAAGCTTCTCTCTACCAAAACGTTTATTATAAGTTAATATTTATCAGAACTGCTTGATTTTTGATGTGACTCATGATGTGACTCAGATTCCAAAATAAAATCTGGGTTTAGAAAGGAGATATGTTTCTTTTAGGGAGATCATCTTCTTTAGCAAAGAACTTCTTTTGCAAAATGCTGGTCGCAACATTTCTACAATCATTAAGTTTGGTAATATTTTTTAACATAAAGGTTCTTCCCCTCCCAATTAAAATTACAATCAAATTTTCTGAGATTATCAGTGCTTTTGTAGTCATTTTGAATCTGACCACACTAGACTGGATATTAAGAAATCTATTTCTATTGCTAAAGTAGTCTTTAGTGCTTTATTGTTTCTGCCCACTTTCTGAGGTTATAAGATGCTTAATTTAAAAAAAATATTTCTGGACAGTTCTTTGTATATAAAACTTATGACAAACCCAAATGTTTACTCTAGTATCTATAATATATTAAGTGCTTGCTATAAAATGCTTACCAGAACTGCTTGCCTTTTGTTCAGGAGGTGTCATGATGTTCAGTGACTTATTAGGATCATAATTGTTTATATCCACGAGTCTCCTTTCTTTGATAGATTCCCATATAAAATCTGGGCTTGCAATATGAATGTGGTTCTTTTGGATACAGTTCAGTTGATACTGACTCAGAACATTAGCATTGTCTAAGATTATATGTGTGCACTAAGAAAAAAAAGAGTCAATCTTTTATGCATTAGTGAAAAAATTTTTTAAATACATTATTTATATCTGTAATTTTCACCCTTAAAAAGTCTTGTTTTAAGGTAGTTTGTAATTAATTTTTCTCCGATTTCTAAAAAGCTTATAAATAATACAATTTCTAGTTATATAAAAAATTTTAAATTCAACAGTTTTTAACAAGTATGGTTACAGATGTACCATAAATGGTTAACCAACACTAGAGGTTATTTCCAAATTTTCACTAATATAAACAATGCCGGATTAACACCTTCATGTACATATCTTTGTGCACTTGTTCAATAATTTCCTTAGGAGTGCAATGGGAGGTTCAAAGTGTATTCATGATTATCTATTTTAATTTGTTAATTTGTAATTTTATTAATTTAGTTTTGAATAAATAGTACACGCACAGTTGAATATCTAAAAACTAAAATAATAATGATATGTTAACTTCTTCCTCATAGTTATTCTCAGTTCCTCTTCCAGAGGCACCTGTTTGCTGTAACGTCTTCCTCATGTTCTCTTCTAGAGCTGTTCTATGCAGACAACACACACGCAAGCACACACAGCAGCATGCTATCCACATTCTTCTGTACTTGCTTTTCCACCTAACAACTGATCCTGGAGATCATTCCTCATCATTACATATAGCTGGTAGGCACATCTCAAATGTTTATATCAGCAAAATAACTTTCAGTTTGCACTCACAGTATGTGAGAGTTTCTAAAAAGGAGAGATCATGTTGGCAATTTACCACTCAGAAGACAAACTGAGAAGGTAGAACAGGTATGAACTATTCATCCACCCACAAATTTGGTGAGACAGGCAAGTGAGGAAAGACCTCTGAGGGAAGTACATGCAATTCTGTCTGAACTGGAGGTAAACAGGGACATTCCATTTGTGATTTCACGGCAGTCGAACGCACTTCACAGCACAGATGGGGCTCGCTGTGGCCAAGCGCCAGAGCTGCCCCAGGGAGAGGCAGGCTGAGTCACAGGGGCGGGCAGGCCTGGGACCTTGTGCCTTTGAACTTCAATTTTTACTTCTTACAGCGAGGTGGTTAAAAAAGAAGTTAGGGGCCGGCCCATGGCTCACTCGGGAGAGAGCGGTGCTGATAACACCAAGGCCCTGGGTTTGGATCCCATATAGGGATGGCCGGTTCGCTCACTGGCTGAGCATGGTGCTGACAACACCAAGTTAAGGGTTAAGATCCCCTTACCGGTCATCTTTAAAAAAAAAAAAAAAAAAGTTAGCCTTTATTATTTCCAAGATTTCATCCAGCTGTGAAATTCTATACCTAAACTGTCAGGCCTACAGTTCATTTCAAGAGAGAAAAGGTAGTTTCCATCAGCCTTTAAACTAATAAAACATGCACCACAAAGATCAGTTTACTCTGCATGTTTTTCTCTCTGCCCCCAGGAGCCACACTTAACAGGTGTCACTGCAGTGTTGACATACTGGTGAGCGATTGAAGTGCGCTTTTTGCAAATGCTGTGCACTATATGACTTTTTGCAAATGCTGTACACTATGACTTTTCTCCTTCAAGAATAGATGTGGTTGGTCTCAAATCTCCTCCCCTCACCCGTGGCTAACAGTATGAGGATCCAAACCTGCGACCTCGGGGATAGAAGGCTGTGCTGTAACCAATTGAGCTAACTAGCCAGCCCTCAGAGCTTCTTTACGTCTTCAGCTGTGCTCTAGTAATATCAGATTCGCAGGGCATACAGGATTGTCCTGCAGCTCCAGAACTGGGAGGAGAGGGGTTGGGCACTGGCCTCCTCGGCCTCTCCTGGCCCAGCCTCCCAGTGGGGGATGTCACGGTTCCTCCTGCCTCAGCTCACGCTCCCCGTCCCCAGTCTCCTCTGCTTACTCGTCTAACCATGACCGTATTCCCGGAAAGCACAACGTCTATCACATGATAGTTTATGAGACAATACCTGAGGATTTAACAAAAAGGAAAACTTTCCACCATTTTCCTTAATGTCAGTTTGCAGCTTTTTCTTCTGCTGACGAGGTAAGTATTTAACTTTCAAACAGAAGGTACAATGTGCAAAGATTCCCACAGTCATCCTGAAAGAATAAAAGTTTTGAGTTATAGTTAAGGACTCTCTTTTCAGTGAATAGAACTGACAGTGAATTTAAAAAGGTTCTCTAGCAAACTCGGAAAATTGGGCATTATTTTTTTTTAAAAAGACATTGCAATAATGTTATAATCACAGAACTGAACACTGTCCTAACATGTAATATGGGAAATCTGGGAAAAGCCAGCAGTCATCTGTATGTCCTGAAAAATGTTATCATAAAGCCAGTTTAACTTAAGCCATACATACAGGCACCAGAAAAAGTAATAAAGTAACCTAGAATGCTTCCTGTAACCCTTAACCCAGATTCTTGCGTGTAGGATGTAACCTAGTAACAATCCAAAATCTCTAGCCAATGGAAAAACTGATGTAATGATTAGGAGGCTGTCCTCTTTTCTCTTTTGATTTTCCCCCCTTCTTGTAATTACAAAATGCTGAGCTCTGCTGGCCCCCTCCAGAGAGCATTTCTCAGGGGAAACTGACCTATGCATTTGCCCCACAGCAATCAACACAGTGGCCCAGTAAATTCCAGGCTTATATGTTCAGCCTCAGTTTCTACTGGGTCAACATTCTGTCACATTCCACACATACATTTTTTGGCTAAATCTCTGTCATTGTTTCCTTATAACAGAGGGCCAGAAGTGGAATTGCTGTCAGTCAAAGAGTACAAACATTTTTCAGCTTTTTTTTCATTGTGGTAAAATACACTTAACAAAATTTACCATCTTATCCATTTTTAAGTACATTCACATGTTATGAAACCAGAGTGTAAACATTTTAGACACAAATCTCTGGCCTGTTCTTAGTACCTGATGCTGTGTGGGAGGCAGAGAAAGGAACACTTTGAGTTTTGTGAAATCTCAAGTCAGGCGTGGACTTCTGTCATCTCACAGATTCTATCTCTAGTCTCTCTCAGACGCCCAGCCTCTTCTCTTGGCTTTGACAGCTTTCTTACAGACACATGCCACCAGTGTCTTCCTTCTTTCAAAGCATTCTTTAGACAGAGTTTGCTCATGCTTTCCCCAGTGCTGATTATATATACATGAGATTTGACAGACACTGGGCTAGGAGCTGGTTATCCTGTAATGCAAATCTGCAGAGGTCAATCCAGTCTGTCCTCCTTCCAAGCTCCTTCCTAAAACAACGTTTACTAAGTGTGTTCCATCCAAAGACAACAGATGCAGCCCCAGTTCTTGAGAAACTCTCAGCACTACCCCTCACAAATTTCAAACTACTCTATCCATAAACGGTTGGTGCAGGTGGGAACAGAGGCTTCCTGCCTCACAGGCATTTCCTCCTTTCCAACAGCCTCAGGGTCTCCCTATCCATAAAGTCTTCCTGGAACCCTCCTCCTCTAATTGGCTGCCCTGTTTTGGGCCTCCAAGTAGGCTGCCAGCTTTGATCACACACCTCTTTACAGTCACTCATTGGCTGTTCCCTCCTCTGACAATTTCTCCAGGAGGGCCAATCTTTTGTGAGAAAGAGCTGTGCCTTGATCTTTATATACCTAGAATCCCGATCACTTTTGATATACTTTAGGCATTCAATAAATGCTTATTTACTAAAAACTCTTTCACACATCAATTAAAGCCTAGGATTATAGAAATCTTCTGACACTATTTACATATTTGGACTCAAATGGTATCAATAATGCCCTTCCCTAATGGGATTATTAAACCCCTAAAAAGGAAGGTAGTACTTTGGTTCCTCTCCTATCCCCATGGCATATAATAACTCTAAGCACACAGACAGGACCTAAAAATGCTTACTGAATCAAAAATCAAGTCAAACGTAACACAAGAATCTGCCACACGCACATATTCATTATTAATTTGTTTTTTAAAAAAGTGAATTTCTCCTTTATAATAACACCACGCTGAGAATGTTGATATATATTTGTCATTTTGTCATTTTAGCAGCCCAGAATCGAAAGGGCTTAAGCTTGAATATACAGCGCTTGGTTTTCTGGAAGCTGAGATCTACTTCCTAAATGAATCACCGGGCCTTCCCCGTAGGAATTATTCAACTGCCTTGCAGTTTTTCAGTTTCGGACCTCAACAAATACATTGTCTCTATCACGGTGTTCCCAGTTATTCACAAAGTCAGACTACATTTCCTGATTACTCACCAAACCACCGTACTTCTGCATAAGTTTCCTTTGAAACCCAACTTTCAGAAAGAGGACAGGCCGTCCGGCACGCTGGAAACAAGGAACCCGCACTGCACTGCGACCTGCTCATGTATGCTATACGAAGTTATTACGGAGCATGTTTACTCTGCTGGCAGTTAAGTTCTCAGTTTTTCAGTGGACTTTGCTGGTAGCAGTTGACTTTTGAGTTTCTCTGTGGACTGCCTAGCTCTCAGATGTGTTAAAAAATGGGCACAGACCCCTCAAGCACATTGTCCAGACTGGGTCACAAACTCTTCACACGCAGGTCTATGAGCTAGGTAACAGGAAAAAAGGTCCTTGGAGTCTTGGTTGAAGAAAGAGTAGTCTTTATTCAGCACACATACACGTCTAAGAGCTAGGCAGTCCACAAAGGAACTCAGAAACTCAACTGCTACCAGCAAAGTCCAAAGAAAAACTAAGCAGCTGCCAGCAAAGTAAACATGCTCTATTTTTAGATGCAAGCTCTCCACAGCCACTGCCCATGCAGCACTATTTCCACCCACACACAACTTACTTACAAGGAATGTGCTACACCACACCCAACCGGACCTGAGGCAGGGGGCCTGATCAAACTATTCTATTTTCCTCACAAATGCCATATTAATATGTTGTACTGTTTAAAATTTTTACTATGAGCATACATTATTTCCGTAATAAAAACATTAAAATATTAAACATTAAATTTTAAACAAACGCCCTTCGCCCCGCGGGCCGAGCGCCCCCTACCCGGGACGTCGTCTGGCCGCGCCGGGAATTAGGTCCGCTGGGAGGCGGGGGAGCGGGGAGCGAGACCCTGGCGTGAGAACCGGGCTTAGGCCGGGTGTCCCTCCCAGGAGCAGCCCGAGGGCAAGAGACTTTCAGTTTTATCTTTCAGGCGGGATTGGGCGAATGAGGATAACTCCAAACCTGGAATTTGGGAGAAGTGGGGTCCAGAGATACAGATCTGAGATTCACCGAGCAGGGAGTAAGGTAAGGAGAAACAATCAGAATCCCAGGATACTGACTACTAGGAGAACAGAAGGGATAGAATAGAGAATAGAGTGGAAAGGGTATGGATTTGAATCCTGACTCTAGCACCTACTGCTGAGGGGATTGTAGACATGGTACTGTATCTGGTACTTTACCCAGTTTCATCATCACACCTACCTTATAGGGTTGTATAAGAATCAACTTAGGTGGGCCGGCCCGTGGCTCACTCGGTAGAGTGCGGTGCTGATAACACCAAGGCCGCGGGTTCGGATCCCATATAGGGATGGCCGGTTTGCTCACTGGCTGAGCGTGGTGCTGACAACACCAAGCCAAGGGTTGAGATCCCCTTACCGGTCATCTTTTAAAAAAAAAAAAAAAGAATCAACTTAGGTGACATCAAAAAATGAAATAGTAGGGCGCTCTGGATCAACATAAAACAAAACAACAAAAAAACTGGCAAAACAACCTTATCGAAACCTAGAAGACAGTCAGAAGTTTACAGCAAACTAACAAATGCTTGAACAGAAGAAAGGCCACTGCACCTAGGCAGGAAAGCTTTATGGTGTTTTAACTTACCCTGGCTCCACCTCTCTTTTCAGCCCTGTGGCCCTAAGGCTATTGTCAGAATCCTGTTCACAGCGCCAATTGTAGCACTCTTAATACTGTTCGTGACACCAATTGTCTAGCTACACCACCACGCTAGTTGTTGGGCTCTTTTACCTTCTGGTAATCCTGCCAACTGGGCTGATTGTTGAGCTAGGGCTGGGTCTGGAGCTCCCAGACCCCTCAAGCCCATTCACAGACTGGGTCACAAACCCTTCATACACCAGGCTAGGTCACCAGACTCCACACACGCCAGGCTGGGTCACCAGACCCCCTCACACAGGTCTATGAGCTAGGTAACTGGCAGACAGGTCCTTGGAAGCTGTAGGTTCAAAAGCATGGCTGTGCCAGGCGGACACCTGAGGCAGATGCCCACCTGCCCACCTGCTTCACTAAAACTCTCTCTCTCTCTCTCTCTCCAAAGAAGACAAGAATAGAAACAAAACTAAAAAGATACATTGGTGTGCATGTGCACTAACTAACACGCAATTTGCTTGCAAAGGATGCTGAACCACACCCAACTGGATGGGAGGTGAGGGCCCTGACCAAACTATTTTATTTCCCCAACAAGCCCTCATTCCTGGTGTGGATACCTGGTTTTGGAGGGAGCAGAGGAGACTTCTTCCCATGAAGTTGTTTGTCTGTTTTGACTTGTCTTGGGGCTCCCTGAAGGACTGATGCAAGGGGTGTGGCTTTTTTTTCCTAATTCAGAACTCTCTTGGTAGAAAAGCAGCTATGTGGAGGATGTACCTCAAAATCATTGGAAGGTAAATGAACAAGCTGCTGCCTACCAAAAAATAACAGTAGGGGCAAAAAACATACAAGCTGAAAGCATGGGAGGAAAAGCCAGGAGTGAGTTTTTGAGGGGAATAAAGAGTTTGAAAAGCTCCTGATTATACTGGGGCATCTAGTAAGCCATATGCCAAGGGCAGGATGCATTCTGAGAAAAGACCTGAGGAGAACATAAGCTTTCACCTCTGGCTGGTTTTATGCTCAGTGTAAGCATGGAGTGACAACTAAGGCATAGTTGTAAATGGCCTGGCTAAGCACTGAAGAAATGCCCCAACACAGAGTCAATCTGCAAAAACTTGATGAGCATTTTTTTCTTTTCTTTCCTTTCTCTCTTTTTCTTTTTTTCTACAGGCATTTAAGAAAATGTCAATCAAACCACTAGCTGAGCACTAAGCAAAAGGAACAGAGACTTCAGGGACCACAGATGAGAAAGAATACAGTCTTTACAAAAATA